AACACTTCGCATCAACAAAACTTTTTCAGTTTGTCATTTTTTTAAACCAGATTAACCCAACTTGATTGCTAAAACTACGAAATTCCTTAAATTCAAACAGTCAATTTAAAATTGACTTGCGATTCAATAGAATAAATTAATGTAGCCCAGTAATAAACATTCTGTAAATGTTTCCTACAAGAAAAGGAAGCTTTAAAACCGACTGATGAAATTTTTGTCATTGGAACGTCATTATTCCTAAAACGATGCTTGATTACATAAATCACAAGCTCTTTAGTGCAAAGCCTCATTAATAAAATGGAATAATGATGGCTCGAATTCGTAGAGGTGCCTAAAAAAGACCGGGCTAAAACACTCATCAGTACGTGATATCATCCAAAACATACGAATGCATTTCAAAATCCATTTTTATTAAACAATTTGCTTATCTCTGTTTTGACTTCTTTTATTTTAGCAGCCATTTTTGGGTGGGATAATGTGATGGTCACGTGCCAAGTAAAGGTTAGGTTTGCTTAAAAATTACTGAAAAACCATCAAAGAATAGAGCGGATAAAGAAAAAATGAGGTAATGTTTTTTATTCCATAGCTTAGTGCAATGACTCCTCTAGTGTTAGTTCCGCGACCTGAAACTAGGTGTTACATTGTGGAATACCTGCAATGAAACAATGGAGGACATTTTATTGACTAATTGGGAACTCCCGCCTGGACCCAAAGAAGGCATTCAAAAAACGTTAGAGCTGCATCGAGTTTCATTGAGTATGCAAACATCATTTGAGAGTGATAATAAACAATTGAATGTCGTGCGCACTACAAAAAGCCCATGCAGTCTCTTGATAATGAGGTGGTAGCATTGAAGGGCGAATTAGGTAGCGAGTAGATGGTTTTAAAATAATCAACTATGTACTCCTTTGCTTTAATGAAGTTGGAACAAGAAGATTGCTTTTTGTTAAATAGCAGCCTGTCAGAAGACATTATAGTGCTGCGCCTCCTATGGCATAAATGAAAACAGTAAAGAACATATTGCCAGTCTTTATAACTGATCATCTGATGAGACATGTCAAATGTGACAACTTAGGACCCATGACTTGGGATCCCAGTTAATGTGGGTGCAAATAACTTGTTTCATTTTCCCTCACATTTAAAATGATTAATGCTTCTTAAACAATATTTGCTTTTATTTAATAGAGATACTTTCTCATAATTCTTCAAAAAGTGAGGTTTTTGAGATATGACACATCACTTAATTATGTAAAATAGTTTGAAACTATAAAACCATCTTTCTGACTAAAAAAATCCGCAATCATTTGTTGCACCTTATTAAAATGTTACATACTATATTTTGGGGAAAGTATTCACCACCTCAAAACAAATTTAAATCAAATCCAGAAATGAACATCGGCTGTCAAAATAAAGAGTACTTTAATGTATCTAAAACAAATACTAAAAAAGGCATTTTCAGAAAAACAATTCAATCCAAAAAAAATTGCGATTCTTAGGAGCACCTAGGAAGGTTTTGTAGATTTTCGAAAATTGAAGTACATGGATCTCGATTAAAATAGGTACTAAATAAGTCACTTCACATTATTAGAACTTATTTAGTTTTAACTTTGCTTTTAGGATTTCTATGAATCATTTATTACCAAAGTCCTTCTTGGGGGAAATTCAGGCATTATGACACAGATTTTGCCATAGTTCACTGCGGCATCACCATTTGTACCACAGAAATAGTTAATTAAACTACCATTGCTCAAAAACAAAACCCGATGCAGTTATTTTCAATACCTTGAAAACTACCAGGGTATGTTTTAACACTTTGAAATAGCCAGTCTGGTTACGAAACGATGGGGTTCAAATAGCTGGGCGAATTCCATGGGTGTCATATAGTACCTTCCGATTTGTTGTACAAGACTAGCCACTTTCCTTTAAATGTATGCAAGCAGTCCATAAAAGTATGAAGGCCACCAATTTAACAAGTTGTCAAAAATGATGCTTAAGGCGCCACAATTCAGCCTGAAGATGTTGTTAATCATGAGAGCTATGCCATGGAATGGCTGATTAAGTTCAAGCTTGCAAAACATCTCCAATTCAACTTCTAAAAGGCATTCTTTAAACCTAGGGAAATTATTAGTAATTCAGAAAGCAAATATGGTCTTCTGAGCTAGTCATTTTTGCGGAAAATTCAAGAAAACAATAGAAATCTTGAATCGTAATTTAATGGCATTCGTTTAAACCGTTTGCGGGGTTTTTAGACTTCCGAAACGGTTCTATAATCTTTTTTCCATGACAGTAGTACGCAGCCGTCCCTTAAGTCTAGTAGTGGGTCGTCTACATTGAGGTGATTTACTTGTGGCTCCGGACCGGTGATAGCGATATGTTACTCTAGTCATTACTTGTCCCCTTCCAGACCATGGCAAGGATATGGGACTTGATAGTCTCTCTCCCATGAGTCTTACAGATTGCACTCTTCCATTTGTTTGCCATTACTAGTGTTTTCCCTTATTCTCCTTAGTCGATTTAAAACTCACTTAGGACCGAGTCAACGTAAGAGTGAAATGATTTCATACTCCTTTCGCATATCTAATGCTGAGCAGGCCTAAGGCAAAAAAAGCCACAAGAAGGAATGTAAACGACTGTTGCCTTTGATAATATCCTTTATTAACTAGATATGACAGAATTCATGTTTCAAAATCACCTAGATACAACCTCATTGCTTATAATAATAAAAAATTCGGCTATGTGGTGAGCAATTTAGCTAAAACTCAATTAAATGGTTGGCAAATACCAATTTAACAAGGTAACCCTTTCAAATGTTGTCGCTAATAGCAACAAAAAGTATACATCTGCACAGTTGTTTGTGAAATTCGCAAAAAGATAATAGTTTTAGCAAATGAAAGTGTCATATTTTTAGCTTTAAACGAATTGTTTTGTAGTATTTTAACCGTGCTAAATAAAGCACATTGAGGAGAAGTTTACTGTTTTGAGTTTATAATAATTTAATTTCGGATTATGCGTTTACTTGCAAAAAAGATGAAATAATCTCTATTCTTACATAACAAAATAATTTAACCGTTAAATAACCAAATCTGCATAAACGTATACAAGAACATCAGAGATACACTGTTGAATCACACGTCTAAATGGATGGGAAAAGTAACTAAAGAAACGGAAATGGAATGCAGGATCGATTTGGATGCTTAGCAAACTCCGCTACAAGAATCTTTGGTTAGTTTTATCTCTAGGCAGGCATCGTTTTTAATTTACTAATGCTAAAATTTGGTGAATGTTAAGGTCTACTTCGACAGCTCTGAATTCAAAATTTGCCACTGACTATTTGAAAACATGGTAACCATCAAAACTTTAAAAAAAAATGTTGTTTATTATTCAATTTTCTAATAAGATTTAGTAAAAATCAGGTTTTTTGATTATCATGGCTCATTTACTACATAACTTCTCTGCCGATATCCATTTTATGCATCTATTAATCGAACTCTTCCATTCAAATGAAGAAAACTGGAACGACTCCTTCATTCGGCTATCTACTTAATTAGAAACAAGTCATGAGATCTTCAGGAAGAAGTCAACATTAAATTCAGAAATCTATGCGAATGAATTAGTAAGGCTGCCTTTCCATTGATATTATAATTCGATAAAAAACGAAATGAAATTTAGTTACAAAGGAAAAGCCACTCAAAAATCCTTGGTGTCAGCTCTGGGAAAACCGAAAAAAAAAACAAAATTTCAAGCTAACCGTTTGGTGTCCTAATAGAATTTCACATATACGGTACTTTAAATAATCTCTTTTGTTCAAAAGGGTTGATGATTATAAAATCTACAGTTCGCGTTGTTAACTGGATGTAAATATAGAATTTATCTATTTACTCCAAAGGGATACAAGTCCTTGTATTTTTACAGTTCCACGTTGTTCACTGTGGAGAAAACTTGGTAAGTTTTACTTGAATGACTATCATCAAAACAATGAGTAGGATGGGAATGAGGTGGAGTTCGTGCCATCACCGTGATCAAACTATTTATAACCTAGTTAAAACATAGCAGAAGAAATGGCATCCATCGGCTTTGCCTAACGTTATACAGCATGAGGAGTCAAAATGGCAAGTAAGATTATGTCAATCTCGTTGTAATACACATAGAATAATATAGATATATAGATATAGATATACATATATATTTGTGTCATTTTTGCTCGGAAATTTGGTTTAACTGCTGCGATAAAACAAATGACTGACATTTCTGATGCTTTTGAATCAAAGAGACAGAAACCAAAGTGCAGTACATATTTGCCAATCAGTACATAAAAGGAGACGTGAACATGGCTCTCAACTACGAGTCCACATGGATGCGAATCCACTTAATGGACTAATCTTGAAGACCATGATTTTTCGACTGCCGCATCCTTAACAATTTTTTCAAGCTTTAAACAAAATCATCAATTTTCTAAACACATTCATTCGATGTTTCGTTTTTTTTTTTATTTACCGAGACAATCTTAGTGAAATAAAACCTACATGCTTCCAACATTCCTCGTTCGCGTAAGTGAAGGCTGAGGGCGCTGTTTGTTAGCAATGTTAAAATCTTTTGAGTGGAAGTACGCTCCAGATTTTACGATGATCAGTAAATGCCTAGTTGATTTCATCTTGAAATTTACCAAAGCATCTCGTGGAGAAATCATTGTTTTGTAAATAGTGCTTCCCCTGTCAAACTTTGCCTAAATAAACTGCATCATCAACCGCTCTCAATTGGGCAGCCATAGGTATCATAAAAGCAGACTAATTATTCACTCTGAAAGCATTGCTACATGGATACTACACAGGGGTATTGCCATGCCAACTTCCATTGTTTAACATCTGTG